ATTATACCAACGGATTACTACTTATATATATGCCTGCCCGCGTACACAATTCCGGAAAATTCTCGTTGAAAACACAACTATACTTAAACAATAAAATAAATGAAAACAATAAACGATAAACTCAAAATTCTTGAGGCTATATACATAAAACAGTTGAAACCTAACCTGAACAAAATAAACTACGAAATCTCTATAAATATCCTTAAATGCCTCTAATTGATAACAGAAGCCATTGATTTATTCACTCTCGCGTTGTCATGTGTGACGTCACGAGCTGCGATGCGATTTCCGCTTCCGCGTCTTTTTATACACAAGTTTGTCGTTGCTTTGAAACTTTTCATGCAACAAAAACAGGCTATCATTATTGTTTCGTCCGTGTATTGTTTGTTATATTGAAATGTAATTGTCATCTTTAATAATGGCTTATGTAAGCCGAAAGCTTAGATCAGATTTAAACATGTATCAATATGGTGATTTCCTTTCGTCTTTCAATAATAATGTTATTAAGCTTAGACAATATGAAAGGAAATTACTTAAAATAAATAGACACAACTTGTCTATATTATTTAATGATGGAGGACATGTGGAAACTTAAACAGAATTTCAATAAAACATTAAAAAATATAGATTTCCTTCTTTCTACAAATTATTTCTATCGCAAATACAAATAAAGTTATAATTTTTTTAATGTGAACACGAACTTTTTGGGCACCTTGTATATGTATATATTATTAGTAGCAGTATATAGTAATTTTTCAAGCGTAGCTCAGATGTAGCACAAAGTCGAAAGTATGCGGCACCCAGTGAAGATCGAACTCACTATTTAGTTGTAATTGTTCTAGCGAGACAAGCTTGCTAACCATTACACCTCTTCGAGGTGCGCAGGTATATATTTATAGTTATTATAATTATTTTTTAAAAATATGATTCCATCGCTACATAAGAGTTCTTATGTTTCAAAAACAGAAGCTAAATTCTTTAATTTCATTTATAGAAATTAAATTAAATTAAAGTAGCTAATTCTCTTTCATCCTCAAGCGAATTTTGGAATAACTAATTTTGAAATTTACGGTTCTTTATAAGCATATACATTCGTAATATTAATTTCTATGGATATGGAGAAAACTAATGATTTTAATAAGGGACGGTAGGGGTATTCATTTTTACTGACAACTATTGTATCAACATATTAGTTACTTTAGAAAAGAGGTTAAGTTAAGGTAGAGTCGGGGTGCCTTTTTTCAAACGAATGATGACATCCGTTCAACGCATATCGTCTGGTCTATTTCAACGACAGAAAGTTTTTGGCACTTTTGTTACGCTGTTAAATGTGAAACATGAGAACTCTTATGTAGCGATGGAATCATATTTTTTTTTTAAAATTATTATGATATAGGCTCTACTGTTATAAATATAAATAATTATAATCGTCTGGAAAAACCATAGGTATTTTGGTTTGTAAATGAACAAACCAATACCCAAGGGAAAATAAGGAATAAAAAAAAGAAAGAACTAAGAACATGTAATTGAGGCGAAAACAATCGCCCAGAATCCAAGCTCAGAGTCCAAAAACCCCCCAAAAAACAAAAAAAAACAACCTCCGACACAAGTAAAGTAAAAATAACTAAGCAAAGTGCTCAATACACTAAGTAGAGCAAATCTGACTATGAACCTAAACAGCCAGGCAAACCTACCTGGCCAGCGTACCCTAATGATCCGCATAGGTGAAAACCTAGGTAGGTTTGCCTGGCTCTTTAGGTTCATTTAGGTTATATATATATATATATATATATATATATATATATATATATATATATATATAATTCCAAGTTTTGAATAAGTAGTTCTAATTAGAGTCTGGCCTTCTGGCAATAAAAGTACTCCATGGCATAAAAATAACAGACCATTTGAATATTAATTCATTTTTATGGAAATTGAGCACTTTTACGCCAGAAGGCTAATTTTGGGCAGACTTTATTTAGTGCTGCTTATTTAAATCTTGGAATCATATATACTCTAACGTGAATTTGGTTGTCTGGTCATGTTGAGCACTTTTCTGGCTTTATGCTTCAGATCCTGTATCATGAGACCAGTTTCTCTTGTTTTTGAGCGCTTTTTACTATTCTGGCAAAGCCTTTTTACGTTTTTTTTTTTTTTTTTTTTTTTTTTTGCTATTTTAGATCTTGACTGGGTATTTTTCAAGGCCAAACAAATTTCATCATAGACCCCGAAAATAGATTCATAATACAGCACACCATTGCAAATGATCTGGTCTGAGAAAGCAAACTCAATGAATTTACACAACGGTGTACTTACGATTAAAACACATCGATTTAGAAATCCTTGCAAAAATCAGACATCAGTGTTTCATAAAAGTTTCCGGAATTAAATGAAACTAATTATTTTAGAAACGTTATTTTTTATAAAATTTCGTTATTTTTTTACATCTGATAACCCACCCATCACTTATTTAATGCCATGAAATTTCGAGAAATTCATTTTTGTAGCTTATAAGGGCAAATCCTGGGAGAATTTAAAACTCAATTTTTTTTTTTTTTTTTTTTTTGTCAAACAGGATACCAGTTACAGAAAATCTGCTTGGAATAGTAAAATAAAAAAGGAAAAAAAAAAATTAAAACGTAATCCTTTAATTAGAGAAACTTTTATTTGCTTTTATGTATAACATATATTATAGACACTATTGTCTTAAAACATTTCTTCGATGAATAATGTATTTTTTGCAAGAATTGTTTTTATTATATTATATATTATATATATTAATTAATAAACTTTTAAATCTTTTAAATTTTTGTATTGTAACGAGAGGATTAATGGATAGCGGCTCGGATTGAGGAATCGGAGAGCCGAGTTCGAATTCCAGTCCAATCCATTACATTCATTTACATGCTAATACTCTTCTTCTCTCCCCCCGCCCCCGCTGCTATGGGCAAATAGCAGGACAGACCGCGTTCTATAGCCTTGGATGGCAACTGGTCTACCGCAGAAAGAAATGGCAACCTACTACGGGAAAAAATCTGCTTCGTCAGTCATGTATCGAAAGACACATGATCGCCTAAGCGTGTATCATACATGGCACCTAACTGACTGACGGAACGGTTTGCTGATTTTTTTTATTAAATAAAAAATATATTTAATAAACAGAAACTATAATTCAGTGAATCCCAGTATTTAAAAAAAGATTTTTGAATTAGTTTTGTGTGTATATAAACGTGCCGATTTTGTAAATTCGGGTGACATTATCACAAAATAAGAGTGGGAACTATAACAAATTTGAAATTTATTGGTAATTTTCTAACGTTTCCTCAACAAATGGCTTCATAAGTAAACTATAATTATACTTTAGCCAAGATTTTCTAAAAAAAAGAAACATTTTTAAAATAATAATTTAATTCCTTCGTGAACAGGCCCTGAAAGTTTCATTAAAATTCAGTAATTACCAATTACCAATTTCATATACCAATCTTTGATTCACTCACTGAAAAAAAGCAAAACTTTTAACCAATATTTCGAAAATTTTGAAAAGAACTAAAAATATAATTTAATAGTAAAAAAATCCTTTGGTCTTTCCTCTTAATAATAACAAAGATTTCGATTATAAAACTTTGTTTTTAAGTATGGGGCATTTTTTCATTATGCACATTTTTTAGCGAATCTGCGGCGCTAACTACTTGTAAATGGATTGCAAACAGCAATATGGAAGCCAATGTGGGAACTATGAATTAGAGAGGTTAGAATCCAGCAGGTAAAGACATTTACATATCTGGCTAGTATGAATAACGAAACACGCCTTTCAGGAACTAAGTAAAGTTTTAAGATATTGACATTCTGGTTGAGCGTGTCAAAAACAAACTTAGAGGAATAAACATGCTACCAAGGGAGATAATTTTCTGTATAAATTAGAGTTACCTCCCATGAATCGCATTTTGGACTGTTTCTTTTCTACCGAACGACGGCGAGAATATGGAAATTATAAACACTTTTTATACAACGTTTATCTTAATTCTTGACCACTGACAATCCCTTTCATACTGGTTTTTAATGAACAAGAGCGTCATTACAAATATCATCATCATCATCATCATCATCATCATCAAATCCTTCGCTGCTTTACGGGGGTCACCTAAAGAAAGAAGAAGAGACAATCTTCTCCTGCATGAACTCTTGACGATGGCTCCTGTCTGTCTACTCTTTGATGTTGTTTGACTGGCTCTTTTTTTTTTTTTTGCCGTGCCCGATTGCGTCCGCCTTCAACAGATGCATGATGGTCTTATAGAGGCTGTTATGCTGCGTGATGTCGCCAGACTGTATCGTCTCCTGACGCTTAATAGTGGCGAGGAGAGATTGCTGTTATCCCACGAGACTTTTGACTTAGCTCCATACATATTCATTGGTTTTGTGCTTTCTCGAACATTTGTTCCGGATTCCTTTCCCTGACTCAACCAGTAATATCCAACTCTCACACTTCTAGAGGTCGATGGATACGACCAGCGAATTGTAGAACTTAAACTTGGCATGGAAGCTGGTGTTGTTCTTCCATATCTTTTCCACTCTGTCCATCGCATTTGCGACTGTGGCGGTCTGTGTGTTTTCAGGTGCCATCTTTTGACAGAGCTGTTTCCAAGTATTTGTAGCTGGACATTTCGACGTCCATTGTGACACGTTGACACTGCCGTTGCTACTGCTATTCACCATTTTACTGTGGATTTCTCTGCGTTGACTTCCATTTTGTATGGACCGGCTGTTTAAACGAGTTTGTTGGTCAACTCTTGCAGCTAGGTCGAACTGCCCGACATAAAAATTTAATCTCATTAAAAAAAATGTTATTTAAAGCCGGACTTATATCCTCAAATATCATTCTTTACTATCGCAAAATCTATCGATTTAATTAACCTTCTGGAAAATGTCCAAGTGAATCCATTATTAAGCACCGAGGACAGATTGTTCAGCTGACCAAGTCTCGTGATATCACGTTGAAACACGAAACACTGGTCCTCGTACGATCAGTAAAGTTAAGCAACGTCGAGCCTGGTCAGTATCTAGCTGTGTAACGACTTGGGAATACCAGGTGCTGTAAGCTTAGATGTGCGGTTGGTGTAATGGGTAACGGCTCAGAATTGGAGAGCCGAGTTCTAATTTCAGCTGGGTTCATTATATTCTCTTCCGCGCAAATACACTGGAGAAAGCTAAGAATCAGCCGCTTCTCCTCCAGCTATGAGTTAATTAGTAGGACATCTATTAGTAAAATCTGGAAAAAATTATTATAATCTTAAAAAATATAAATTAAAAAAGGGTTGATAAGTCGTAAAAAACAATCAAATATGTTATTTAGCACTACTCCGGTATTACGAGTTGTCTTCCCACAATTATTGAGCCCATGATTACTATACCACCAAATTCGGTAGCATGTATTAATCCCATGATTAATTTACCACGACATTTGTTAGAAAGGTGTTGAGCCCATAATTACTATACCAGCAAATACGGTAGCGGGTATTGAGCACCTAGTTAATATAACACCAAATTCTGTAACAGGTATTGATCGCATGATTAATATAGCAACAAATTCGGTAGCAGGCATTGACCCATGATTAATATACCACCCAATTCAGTAGCTGATATTGATCCCATGTTTACTAAACTGACAAATTCGGTAGCATGTATTGATCCCATGATTACTATACCAGCAAATTCGGTAGCAGGTATTGATCCCATGTTTACTAAACTGACAAATTCGGTAGCAGGTATTGATCCAATGATTACTATACCAGCAAATTCGGTAGCATGTATTGAACCCATGATTACTAAACGACCAAATTTGGTAGCATGTATTGATCCCATAATTACTATACCATCAAATTCTATAGCAGGTATTGAGCCCATGATTAATATACCACCGAATTCGGTAGCGGATATTGATCCCATATAACACCAGGTATTGACCCATGATTATTATACCATCAAATTCGGTATCATATATTGAACCCATGATTACTATAACGCCAAATTCGGTAGCTTTTATTGAACCCATGATTAGTATACCACCCAATTCGGTAGCAGTTATTGATCCCATGATTACTATACCACTAAATTCGGTAGCGGGTATTGATCGCATGATTATTATACCATCAAATTCGCAATTCAACACTTAATCCCCTTGGCTATTCTCCTGGGTATGACATCTTCATGTAATGTTGATATGAATACGACGCAGCAGAATTGCATTCCAATGGCGATGAAGAAGCAGGGAAAGAAGAATTGAAGGTGAGAAAGGCGCAGGTGAAACGTAATCAACTTTTGATATGCAGTACCTTTGACAATTTTAAAGAGCCACGAAAGTATTGAAGAACCAGGTAATATTAGGATACGGTGATGTGAAAAGAAGGACTGTCTAATCATGACCTGCATAGAAAGCTGTTACGGTTTTTTGGGTATATATACCTATAACTAGTGAGCGAGTCAGAATGACTTATTTCCCTTTATAGTCGACCAATGGAAGGTCGACCAATCAGAAGCCGCCCAACACTGTATTCGTCGTGTATAAAGGCGGCCATCTTGTTTCCTCCTACCGGAAGGACCAAAGGCGACCAGGAGAAGGATGAACTACACTCTGCTGTGATATCCACTGCGAACCTAAAGTACGCTTTCCTACTGTCTCCGAAATATTCACTGCCAACCTCTGGATTCAATACTCGAGGACGACCGTCATGAAAATGTCTAACAAAAGCTTCACAAACGAAAGCTAGCGTCAGTAACGTTTACCTTACTATAATTCATCTAATGTGTAGGCTTTCACGAGATAAACAAAACAATGTCACACATGCAATATGTGCTCTTGCAATGAGAAAGTGAGAGAGAGAGAGAGAGAGAGAGTGTGTGTGTGTGTGAGAGAGAGAGAGAGAGAAAGAAAGAGAGAGAGTGGCAGGTGGTATATTGGACGCAAACAGATATTGAAGGACGTAAGACAACAAACAATGCAAAAAATATCGCCAAGTCTATTTTTCATATAGAAAATACATCGACAAATATAAGGTTACAGTGCACTTGGCAAAAAGTATCTCTGCATGTTCATTTAGACCGTGAGAAGAGCGTTGTCCTGAAGAGGACTGTTTTGAAATGGTTGAAGAGTATTGTCCAGAAAAGGCGTGTTTTTAGCCGTTGTCAATCGTTGTTCTGAAAAGGGCAGTTTTGTATTTGTTGAGAATTGTTTTCCTGAAAAAGCCAGTTTTCTAATCATTGAAGAGAGTTGTACGAAAAAAAATACAGCGTTGTAGTTGCTAAAGAGTATTGTCCTTCAAAAGATAGTATCTTCTGAAAAGGACAGTTTTGTAGCCGTTGAGAATTGACTTGAAAATGAGAGATTTGTAGTTGCTGAAGTGTGTTGTCCTGAAAGGACAGTTTTGTAGCCGTTGAAAATTGTTGTCTTGAAGAGGATAAGTTCTCCGAGATGTAAATCATCAAATTTGGGGAGACAAACAGGGCCTCTAGTTGTAGAAAATCGTAAGATAAAAAAATGCAATTAAACTCAGGCATTACTTAATTAGAAAAGCTATTATTTGCTTTTATGAATAAAATATATTATGCTCTCTTATTATAAGAAAAAATAGTAAATAAGGGATTTTTGCAAGAATTTTTTTCTTTTTTTAATTTCTAGAAAATTCATAAAATTGAGTAAGTGAGGGTGTACAGATGTAAAAAATATTTTACCAAGATTTTCTAGAAATGTTAATTTAAAAAATAAATTAATTCATTTGCGAACAATTCCTGAAAGTTTCATTAAAATCCGGCAATTATTTGATTTTTGCAAGGCTTTCCAAATTAATGTGTTCCTTTATTGGAAAACATGTGCGAAAATGTCCGATTCCAGCTCTGTTACACCATTGACGCATAAAAGTTACAAGAAATTTTTTTTAAAAATTCAAAATTGTAAGGAAGGAGTAAAAAATAATTTAAAAAAATACTCTGTTCTTTCCTATTAATAATAACGTAAACATTTTGACGATAAAATTTTGTTTTCATCAAGTTTGGGGTCCTTTTCAGCATGCTATGCTCTTTTATAGCGGAAAAGTGGAGGTACCTAGTTTCGTAGCCATTGAGAATCGTGGTCATGAAAATGACAGTTTTTAAGCCGTTGAGAATTGACTTGAAAATGACAGTTTTGTAGCCGTTGAGAATTGACTTGAAAATGACAGTTTTGTCGTTGCTGAAAAGCCTTGTCCTGAAAAAGACAGTTTTCTAGCCGTTGAAAATTGTTTTCCTGAAGAGGATAAGTTCTCCGTGATGTGAATCATCAAATTTTGACGGATAAACAGTAGAACAGTCAGTTGTAGAAAATCGTAAGATAAAAAAAATGCAATAAAACTAAGATATTTAATTAAAAAAAGCTTTTAATTGCTCTTATGAATAAATATATTAGGGTCTCTGATCAAAAGAAAAAATAGTAGATAATGAATTTTTACAAGAATTGTTTTCATTTTTTGAATTTTAGTTATGTAATATTGTAACAATTCTAAGCAGAAGCTGACGAAGCTTAATTTAATTCATTCAGCTATAGTGCTAAAAATGTTTATCTTATTGTGATGGATGGTTACAAGCGAGAGGGGAGATGGTATGTATTTATTTTATAACCACAAGTTAGAATAATTTATGAACTTTTTATTTTTTTTAAATTCTGTATTAATTTACAGCTCTTAAGCAATATTACTATTAAATAAAAACTATATATGCTAATCATGAATGGAATACCTTGCAACAATTCAACCACATCTAGTATTTTAAAATGAATTTTAAATTTTGTATGTATGTGTGTGACTGTGTGTAGGTATAAAAGTGCCGATATTTTAAAAAAATATCAACGTCTATTCAGCACATTTAAAAATATCAACGTCCACACAATACATTAAAAAATATCAACGTCTATTCAGCACATTTAAAAATATCAACGTCCATACAACACATTAAATAAATATCGACGTCTATACAACACATTATCAGAAAATAATAGCAGTAACTATAGTAAATTTAAAATTTATTGGTAATTTTCTCAACAAGCGTCTTCGTATTTATATAAAGGAAAGCGTATTTTGCTTACTGGAAATGTTAAATTTAATCTATAATCTTGCGATTAAATCTAACATAAATGATTCAAGAATGATTTTTCATTTTTAAAATTCATTTTAAAACTTAGGTATCGCTTCTTTTTTTGGAGGTTCTTCGGTTTAAGAAAGCTGTACGCACTCAGAAAACACTGATTATGTGGCTCTTTTGAACTCTATAAACACAATACTTTTTGCATCCCCCCAAAATGAGAGCATCACTTTCCCTGCAGATGAAACGACATTGGCCCTTTTTTTTAGAGTCGGTGAGGAAGGGTGTTTCCTCTGCAACTTTTATTGTTTCTTTGTCTTTGATTCAAACCTCCATCATGTCTACTTCTTTGCGCAGAATATTCTCAACTCTCAGCCATTGAAAACAAGGACTTGTATTAGGAGCATTGTCCTAATGAAACAAGTCCCAATTCGTCAGTTTTCCTAAGCGTTTCGTCTGGACAGCCATTTGTCACTGCTTCAGTATGTTGGCATAGTTCTCTCCTTTGATGGTGTTGGTCTTTGAAGATATATCAATAAACACAGTGCCTTTTGCATCACAAAAAAAACAGAGTCCTTGTAGATGAAAGGGACTTGACCTACTTTGGAGCAGGTAAAGAAGAGTGTTTTCCTCTGCATGGATTTGTCTTTTTATCTCTGGCTCAAAGTTATGAACACAGCACTCATCCTTGGTTAGGAAACGTTCTAGGAAACCCGTAGGATCTGCCTAAAAATGTCAGGTTCCCATGCACTCTGCACACACACACACACACACACACACACAAACACACACACACACACACACACACACACATGATATTCACATAGGTCCACGCTTTATGCCCCCACACAAAAAACAATATACACATACTCTCATGCAGGATTTTCACACATAAATACATATGACATACCCATTTTCGCACACAGGACGCAAACACAGGATGCAAACACACGCACATATACATACATACATACACACACACACGAGCGCG